TCATAATGAAGTCAATCTCATTTTTTGTCGAACCGTCGGGGCTCGACCAGGTCCACTTCCTGTGGGGCCGCTTCTGGAAGAAAGAGTTCATCATAAAGAGTCCCTCTTTCTCCATAAAGTCGGCCAGCTGCTGGCCCCTTCGGTTCCGTTGCCCTATTCCAAATTTCCCTAACTTCAGCTCACCGTTTTCTCTTGTGCCTAGTTTTGCGTTGAAGTCTCCCATCAACACCGTGTAGTGGGTTTTGGAGGAATGCATGGCTTTGGAAATATCCTCATACATTTCCTCCACCTCCTCATCGGAATGTGCCGAGGTTGGTGCGTAAACCTGTATGACCTTCAGCGAATACCGTTTGGTGATTCTGAGTATCAGGTACGCGACCCTCGTCGACACACTCCCAATCTTTACAACGTTGTTGACGAGAGACTTGTGGACGATAAATCCGACACCTCCTTGGGACAGATGGTCGCCCTCCCGGTGATAGAACAAGTTGCCGGATTCGAGAATCACCGTGTCCTCCCCCTCTCTTCGGACCTCGGATAATCCTATAATACTCCAGCGCAACTTGTCTATCTCTTCTTCCAGCTCCAGGATCTTCTCGTCAGTCCTCAGTGTGCGTGCGTTAAATGTTGCCAGGTCGAGTCGTCGTAGGTGGCAACCGAACCTCCACCGGAGATTCTTAGCACCCCCTGCCCCGCCGTTACCATGGTCGCCACCGTAGCCAGGAATAGCGGAGCCGCCGGGGACTGGGGGCCGTCTATTTGTGTAATTGTTCATGGGGGGGTATATTGCCATAGTTGCCACGCTTGGCGAGCGGGTTGGCAACCGCAGTTTTTTTTTTATCGTACAGTTGCTGTTATCAGGAAGATGCTGCTGCCCATCTCCTGCCTGTCTCCCTCTGTCGCCTTTTACGACACCCACGGGAAGATATGGGGTAGTGGATATTCTTAACCGCCACTACACGGCAATCGTCACGAGGGGTTCGAGGTTCTCGCCATGTCCGTCTAGTCTAGCGAATTCCCCGCTTAACAGTTTTGTTTTTGAGTTACAGCTAACTACCCTCATTTCCTTTTTTTGACTTAGGTTTGCGTTTTTTATTGTATACGTATGTATAAAGGTACTCTGTGTGGTACACTGAAATATATTTTGTTGTTGTTTTCGATATGGCTTCAAGATGTGCTTAATCCCGATTGTTTTTGCTATATTTGTGGTGAATATGTATTTGCAAAATATCGAGAACCTATATCGAACTTTGTAAAAACTGCGTATCAATAATTTAAAAAAAAAATGTGTAATCAGGACAAGCCGTGGGTTTCTTGCATTGTAAGCCAGAAATGTGTGGTTCAGTGGAAAAGAGATGCAGTATTCGTAACACCCGTGATTTGGCGAGAACCTCGAACCCCTCGTGACGATTGTTACTTTTGAGTTGTGAAAATAAACAGAATTAACTATGGTAATCGAAATAAGTGGTCATATCCTAAGTTATCTTCTGCTCCATTGTATCTATTTAAATCACGAGAGGTACAACCCAGCACATCTAAGTCTTCTGATGATCCAAATCCTTGTGAAACCGAACGAAATACATCAAGTGAAGCCTGATTCAGACTACAATTTCATTCAAAACCTCAACCATTTAGAAAGTAAACTTGAGATTGCATTTTTATCAAGTTATGTAGTTTGATTTATTCTCTTATTTTATCTATACATATAATAAATCTGTAGAAAAGTCGTGTCTGTAATTATAATATTTCCTGGAAAAAACAAGTCCAAGGGACTTGTTACTAATATACTTACACTTAATATGGACGAATTATGTCTGAAATAAAGTGATTATTATTATTATAAACGAAGGATACTGAAGCCAAATTACTGGTTTTTAGAATTTTTGTCTATCTGTCTGTCTGTATATTAAAGATTCACGCAAAAACTACTGGACAGATCTCCATGAAATTTTGTATGCAGGCAGCATTGAGCTATTATGTACTACGTACTAGAGGAGACACTGCATTCAGCTACTCTGTTCCACTCAACTGCGGTGCATGCACTGCACTTTAATCAGTCACTCGCTAGGCGCTTGTAGAGTTGTCACGTGTTGTGTTGATTTAAAAAAAATCTCTTGATAAAAATATGCCGTCTTGTGTACTTAGATATTGCACAAATAATTCAAGAAATGTCAGTAAAAACCAAGGAATTGCTTTTCATCGGTTAATAAGATACTTATTCAATAAAAAAGTATTATAAATTAATAATAAAGCAAATTATTCCTAAGACGCCATCTCGTATCATTGAATATAGATTATGAAATTAATATGTTCAGATGCGACATTTCTGTGGGTACTTAAGTTTAGGACGAATATATTATTATACTACACATTTTTTTTGTAGAAACATATAAGTTATTATAATTAAGCTAAATTTTTCATGTTTAAATCTGCTTATTATTCTTTTATTTTATTTTTAGGTTTCCACTTCAAGTCAAAGTGGAATAAATTCGTCCATTTTTAACTCTCGCGTGCCCAGCATTTATGAACGATTATTTACAACATTTATGATTCTAATTTAAATAAATATATTTGTAATTTAAATTTTATGTTAATAAGTTTTGTTAAACATACATTTAGTACGTTTTTTTATATTTGACATAGATACCTTTTAAAATATTCAGATAACAATATCATCAAAATGTAATTCTGACATAATATTATATTAAATTAGCACATATACAAAATAAAAAACAATTTAAAAAATTGTAAGTACTCGATATAATTAACAATACAATATAAATAAACAATTATTACATACTGACCATTCTACTTACGTATAATCTATAATAACAAAAACTGACCGCGCAAGCGCAAAGCGCGTTTATACCAACTGCGCATGCGCGACTCTACTATTACCGCGCATGCGCGAAGACATAGAAGTAGCGCACAATTTTTGTTTGGAATAGCTTCTCTAGTACGTAGTACATTATAACTCAATGGCAGGCAGTTAGTGAACCGGGGCTACTTATAGGCTACTTTTTATCCAATTACGGAACTTCAAAAGGGAATGTTAAATATTTTCCTTCCTTATGTTCTATTATGATTTTGTCAGTTCATGTATATGCAGGATGACTCGTATTTTTTCAAATTAATAGCATATTTATAAATTAAATTTCAAATTAGTTTTAACCTTTGTTTAATAATTTGAAACTACGCCGACGATTTACATTTCAATTTTCAAAACGCGCCATCTATTATCAAATAGAAAAAGTACAGTTTGCCTCCAGTAACTAAATAAATACCTAATATAAAATATAATTAAATAAATTATATTTATATGTCAAAATAATAGGATAAATAAAATTATTTAAACATCCTAACGTTTTTTTTTACTTTTTCGTTATATCATTTTAAAAGTGTAATAATTTAAATAGATAATAGTGACGTTTTTCAAAAATATGAAAATCTATATGGTTTTTAGTTTAATTACTCATTTACATTACATTTAATGTAAATTGATCTGCCTGCAATTATTGCAAAATTCTTATCCTTATAGTTCGATTAAAGATATTTTTATATACATCGTTACCAAATCGTAGACTGATCATATTATCTTAAAGTAAAAAATTTCCTGAAATAGTAGTTGTAATTTAACACTGTTTGTTAACCACGTAATAATATAAAGTTGTCCGAATTAATAAATACAGTCCGTACGACGATATTACACTCAAATAACTAAACAATATTGCTATTTCATGATATTATGGTCATACCATCAAATAGGTTTTCACCGCTAGCAGCGCTGATAGCATATTTTAACACAGAGTTTTTAGCAGAATCAACGTTACTTTATACCTTATTTATGTAATAAATAAATGTTCGCGGCTTTCCAGTCGCACCTCAAACTTCTATCGCTGATATTACTAGATAGCATAGTTTTGGCTTTCATTATTATCATCTAATAACAGCGAAACCTATTCACTGCTAAATAAACTAATGATGTCACTGATAAAATTGAATAATAGAGGCTACTTACTTAATACTCATTTGTTTAGAATCAAATCAATATTGCTATTTCATGATATTATGGTCGTATCTTCAAATAGTTTTTCACCATTAGCGGCGCTGATAGCATATTTTTAACACAGTTTTTAGCAGAATGAACGTTACTTTATACCTTATTTATATAATAAATAAATGTTCGCGGTTTTCCAGTCGCACCCCAACCTTCTATCGCTGATATTACTAGATAGCATGGTTTCTGCTTTCATTGTTTCATCTAATAACAGCGCCATCTACTCACTGCTAAATAAACTAATGATGTCACTGATAAAATTAAATAATAGAGGCTAATACATAATACTCATTCGCTTAGAATCAAAACTTTAAATACCCGAACCGGTGGCCATCATCGTGATGATTAACTGCAATTACCACGTTTGGCAAAATGACTAACGATACTGTTATATTTAATACCGTTTACATAAAACTGTTATTATGACGGAAGCTCTTTAGTGGAATATATTGGCGTAATATGCTAAATTTGCTAATTTAAAGCTATAATGTTGCTAAATTAAATCTCACGCGAGCGAAGCCGCGGGTAAAACGCTAGTTTTTAATAAAATCCCTGAATCTTTCGCTTTTATATTAGTGTACATATATTTGGCCTGAAATGGAGACTCCATTTCAGGCCAAATATATGTAGATAGAAGACTTTTTCGAGGTTATATTTACTAAATAAAATTATTTTAGATTTTAGAGCTACTGAGCAGTTTAGCACCACACTTAAACCGTCGACAACTGCTAAGTTCATTTCATCCCAGTAGCTACTCCAGCGCTGTTGTGGAGTTTTTGAACTGTTATTTACTGCTTACAGATGGCCACTTTTTCAACTGTTCTACTATGGGAGTTGGTACTCCTTACTTCTTTCTACACTCCATAAATCCCTAGGTTATGGGTTAACAATAAGGCATTGAAATAAAAATATACTAATATTTTATATTTATTGTTCACTTAATTTACGCTGACAATACACACACTCCTCCCACATCCTTGATTTTCTTCTCAGCAGTCTTTGAGAAGAATTTTGCTTTGACAATAACAGGCTGTTTTGGGAGCTTGCCTTTGCCTAATAGTTTATAGTATCCCTGAAAAAGAAATTTGTAGAAATAAATATAAAAATTTAAACTTTTTAAAACATAATATTCGATCTTATTACAATACATGGTTTATTGATAGTCTCAGATTTAAAGATTCATTTTCTTCACGCAAAAAGTCCCTTAGTTTTGGTAGGCCTCTGTCACTCTTGCTACCTGTGTGAAATAATTACCTGTAATCGCGAGACGCCCCGGGCTTCATACGCAGTCAGGGCAAGCGCGTTGTAGACGATTGAAAGTTTTTTAACGCTGTTTACGTAAATACTTGTTGAAATAGTTTTTCTTCAGTGTTTAGTATATTTAATTGTAGGATACAATTTTTTTCTTAAAGAAGAGGGGGCAAACACGCATGCGGCTCACCTGATGGTAAGTGACTACCGCCGCCCATGAAACACCGCAACACCAGGGGCTTTGCAGGTGCATTGCCGACTTTTTAGAAAGGAGTAAGCTCTTTTTGAGAGGGTCCCTAAATCGTATCGGTCCGAAAGTCGCCGGTGGTAAACAATTCCACAGAAAAGTTGTACGAGGCCGAAAACTCCTAGTCAAACTCACAGTGGTGGACCGCCGAGCATCTAGATGGTGTTGGATGGTATTTGACCCGATGTGCGTTCGTGAAATTTGGCGGCTGGAACTAATCCGAACAAATTCCATGGTAGATGCGATAGGAACACAAAGGAATGCAACTTCTTCTCTATGCAGAGCCAGTGAATACAGCCGATCAGAAAGAACTCTGTCGTCGACGATTCGAATCGCCTTGCGCTGGATGCGGTCAAATAGAAGGAGCTGGCACTGGGGTGCCCCGGTCCAGAGATGAGAACAGTATTCCATATGAGGCCGAACTTGCGCTTCGTAAAGTTGCAAGCGATGTGCCGGAATTAAATACTGTCTTGCTCTGCTGAGCACGCCAAGCTTTTTAGAGGCCAATTTGGCCTTCCCCTCCAAGCGACCATGAAACTGCACATTATTCGATATGTCGAAGCCGAGGATTCCGATACTAGCTGAGGCAGCAAGAGGAGCGCCTTCAAACTGAGGAGATACGACAAAGGGGTTCCTTTTAGCGGCTAACGCGCAAACTTGTGTCTTCAGGAGGATTGAACTGGACTAGATTTAGTCATCCCCAATCCAAGACTTTGTTAAGCAAAGACTTGACTTTAGACACAAGTTTGTCCCAGTACTCAGCGACGATTTCCCGAGAAATACTGACACGGCCGGAGTATAAGGCATCACCAGTGCTGTGGTCTGCATAGCAAAGAATGTTACTAGTTTGCAACATAGCATTGATATGCAGAAGAAACAGCGTTGGTGATAGCACGCAGCCTTGTCTATCACCAGCGTCAATAGGCTTGTAATCAGAGCATGCACCGTCTACGACGACCTTGATGCTCCGATTAGCAAGGAAACTAGTGATCCAATCGCACAATTTCTTGAGAAGCCCATACGAAGGGAGCTTCGAAAGAAGCGTTTTGTGCCAGAACCGATCGAATCCATGTCCAAACTAATGGTCAATGCCTCCCCCTAGGACTCTACTGCCTCCGCCCATCTATGTGTAAGGTAGGCCAGAAGATAACCAGATAATCAACCACGACGGAAACCGTATTCGCGGTCACTGATCAGCTGGTGATCCTCAAAGTACTTCATGAGCTGCCAGTTTACAATCGACTCCATTATTTCGGAGAACAAGGAGATTGCAATAGGCCTGTAGTTGGACGGGTCCGAGCGGTCGCCTTTTTTAGGGATCGGGTGGACCCAAGCTGTCTTTCAAGAATTCGGGACTACGCCTTGCGAATAGGAGTACCGGAAAAGACGCATTAAAACCGGTGCCAACTCCGGAGCCCACGTCTTTAGCACAATGGGAGGGACTCCATCAGGCTAACTCGACTTGCTCACGTCCAGGGAGAGGAGTGCTTTATGAACCGAGCGCTGTGTAAACCGCACATCTGGTATGGAGCATTCACACCGCGGGATGGTCGGTGGCATACTCCTCCTGTCATCGAATTATACGTAAAGAGCCTAATAGATCAGCTTTCTCCTTTGTGGCATGGGCCAGTGAGTCGTTGATGGGCAGAGATGGAAGAGATGACTGACAGAAGTTCCCTTGCACAGCCTTCGCGAGAGACCAGAATGCACGGGTTCCCGAAGGAAGGCAAACTAGCTTCTCGCCAATTCTGCTGATGTGCTCAGGGCCTTGCCTTGGCAATGACTCTTGAACGACCTGGAGGCGGTATTATACTTCATTTTAGGAGCACTGGTGTTTACATCCAGGCCCGGTAGCACTCCTGCTTATTAGCGTGATGCTATTTTACAGGAGCGACCAAAACATGGCTGGGATCTGCTTCTGATGGGCACCACAGAGGACGGAATAAAAAGTTCCATACATCATCAGTTATGTTGATTAAAATATTTTAGACATTTGAAAAATTGTTAGGGATGTAAAATGTACTGAATAGGCTCATTGTAAAAATGAATAAGCACTTATGTGACATTCTAAAATAAATGTTAGAATGCATACAAAAAACTAATGGCTTGATGGATTTTAACATATGAGATGTTGTTAGATTCATCTTAATTGTGTGTGACATAAGCTACTACAATACTTATATATTGCATTACAATAAAAATCGGCCAAGCGCGAGTCGGATTTACGCATGAAGGGTTCCGTACCATCGTAAAATTTATTTTAATAATGTGTACACTCACCGGCACGGAAACTTAGCCACTCGTGAATTTGCTGATTATTTGCACTGAAACGTTTTTTTAATAGTAAATTAAGGGTAGATGCATTCAATAAGTGTCTCTAATGGTTTTAGAACATAGAAATTTAATGTTTACTTCACCGAAATTTTTCTTTTCAAGATAACATGTTTTCACTAAAATTAACATCTTTCCATTGTCACTTTAAAAACACTACAAAGTTGTCTGTTTCTTTATTGTCTATCAGTTTTAATATCGGGTGTTTCCTCCTCTAGCCCTGATAACCGCTTGCATTCAATCTGGCATGCTTTGAATGATGTTTCTGACATCAACTTGCGGTATGCTGTCCCAAGCGGCCAGCGCTGCATTTCGGAGCTCATTTAGAGTTTGTGGCGGTTTGGAGCTGGACTTTATCTTTCTTTTGAGCATACCCCATACATGCTCAATTGGATTTAAGTCCGGGCTACGAGCTGGCCACTGTAATTTTTGTATTCCAACCTCTTCCAGATATTCCTCTACACAATGTGCGACGTGCGGGCGTGCATTATCGTGCATGAGGAGGAATTGGTCGTGTCCAATGAATCCCGAATAAGGCATTACGTGCTCCTGAAGAACTTCCTCGATGTATCGAGTAGCTGTAAGCCGATTATCGACGATGACCAACTCTGTACGTGCGTCGGAACTTACACCTCCCCATACCATTATTGAGCCTCCATGGAAACTCACAGTTTGGGTGGTGGTAATGGGTAGAAACCTCTCTCCTCTTTTTCTCCACACTCGTTCTCGACCGTCTGGAGCACGAAAAGCTATTCGACACTCATCTGTGAACAACACTCTAGCCCATTGCTCGTGGGTCCAATTGACATGTTCTCTTGCGAACTGAAGTCGGGATACTCGGTGCTGTCTGAGAAGTTCTGGACCTCGTGCTGGTCTACGAGCTTTTAAATTCACTTCCTCCATTCGTCTTCTTACCGTACGCTCACTAACATTAACGCCTCTTGCGATTTGGAGCCGCTGGCGTATCTCAACAGTGGTCAGGTAGCGGTTTCTCAAAATCTCCATAACAATAAAACGATTGTCCCGGGCCGATGTGCACCTTACGCCCCCCACTGCCTGGCCTGCGGGTGTAGCGGCCTGTCTCCTGGTATCGTTTCAGTGAATACTGCATTGAGGACCGTGGTACGTTAAGCACAATAGCAACTTCACGCTGTGTCAGCCCGTGGTCAATTAATGCTACTGCTTGTGCAACTTGTGCTGGTGTTAATGGCATTTTTATTGGCTTTAAAGTACCTTTAGTTATTTAATTAAGACACAAGATCACAATAATTGAATAACCTTACAGTAAACTTTTCACAACACACAAATTTAAAATGTGAACTTAGTCGCTCAAATGACCCAATTCAACTAAAAATTAAAGAATTCGTCATGGTGCACTTAAACATAATGAATTACCCTCTTGAACTTGAGGGTAAACATTTTTTGACATACTTGCATAACAAACATTCATCAGAAACACTTAAAGCTTTTGCTATCACGAGATAACCGCTTGGCCAAGTTTCCGTGCCGGTGAGTGTAGTTGTAGAGGGAACAGAAATACACATTCTGTGAAAATTTCAATTGTCTACCCATTACGGATCATGAGATATAGCCCGCTGACAGACAGACAGGCTGGAGAGAATGGATAGTTTTCAACTATTTTCTTACTTAAGAAACTAACAATAGATATAGATCCCGTGTTGCTTGAGCTTGATAGCTGGCCGTTACCACTGCTGGCGAGAACTCTCTACACTAGTTTGTTGCAGCTACAAGAGCTATTAAAGATAAAACTTGATCAGTGAGGCTTGCATGGGGGTCAGAACCCAAGATGAGAAACCAATCAAATGTCAGTTTGTTCTACAGTGCGGATCTGAGTGCACACACTTATAGCCCAGCGACAAAACTATTGGAACTACAAACTCGCATCTTGCTAACTCTTTATCTAGATTTTAGCTCTATTCACTTCTCATTCATCATTGGCTATAGGACAAATGCCTTAAGCTTGTCAAATGTGAGAGCTAAATCAAATGTTTAAAGGTCAAAATATTAAATTTTCTTACTTATTTATATTCCAGCTTATACTTGATAGGTATCTATTAAGGGCCATTTATAACATATACTTTTCTTTTCTCTTCTTTTTTAAACATTCTTTTTCATGCAATAAAACCGAAGTCGATTGCTGGAGATCTTTTTTTTAAATATGATTGGGTGACAAACGATCACACAGTCCACCTGATGGTAAGCGGTTGCTGTGGCCCATAGACATCTACATCTATCCTAGATTACGAATCAAAATGTGTTGTCACCCATGAGGACTAAGATGGAATGCCTAGTTTCCAATAAAAAGGGTACTATTTTAAGCTGGCATTCTGTGAGAGCTTGGTCCTGCCCCAGTCAAGCCAACCCATTCGTGCTATAACTATACTTCTAATAGAACTGCAGCATGGCTCTACTATGTACAAGCTCTTATATATTGTCTTATAGAGGGGATATTTGCTTGCTTGGCAGGCGGTTTGACAGTCAGTTTTTTTTATAGCATTGAATTGTTATCAGAAAGATGCCATGTCCATTTCCATTTCCCTGTTTCGTTTTAATACACCCACATGAAAACATGAGATAGTGGGTATTCTTGTGCCACCACTACAATGCTTAGCATTAATCTAACAAACTGGAAAACTCATGAATTTTATGACGAAAACCATTTCATTATATTATAGATGCCTTACGTTAATCTAATAAAATATGAATTCATCATTTAATATTTTTACTCGTTTTTAGAGATGCGCCGAGTAGTACTTTTACCGAGTAACGAGTACAGTTTTACTCGGTTCAAATTCCTGTTTCGGGTGCGTAAACAAGTACAAACAATAGAGTGTGATGATCCTAAAAGCCCCATTGCTTAAGAATTAAATTGCTATTTAAAAGAAAATTTGTTGGCAAAAGTCAAGAGTCCTTTCGAGTGGTGAGCGGGGCAACAAACAAGGTATTTCGAGCTGGTACGATTAGCACAGTGTTTCTATTTGCACCTGCAAGCACTGTGTATAGTGAGCGATTATTTTTGGAGGCTAGTAATGTCTACGAAGAAAAAAGGAATAGGCTGTTTCCAGAACGTACAGAGAGCCTTGTGTTCGTGCATCATAATTCACCTTTATTAAATTTTAAATATTGTTTTTTTTTCATTAACCTTTTCCTAATTTTGTCTCATTACTACTCTTATATCATTATTGTGATTGTCATTTCCCAAATTAATAATAAATACTTTTTGATTAACACTGTTGTTTTAATTATATCGATATACCAAAATATATTGCTTTAACCGAATATACTCGGTATTAAAATAGTGGTATTCGGCCGAGTACAAGCATTAACAAACCCGCCCAGTATGCCGAGTACTCGGCCCATTTCTACTAGTTTATAATTTTAAAGCTTGTATTGAAAATAGAAACTTTTTTGAGCTTGACAGTAATCCTGTCCTGTCTAAGAGTTTGCAAAAAATTTCAAGTAAGTTTCATGTTTCATTTCATATAGCAACTAATTTCCTCATACAAGTTTCTGTTTCCTGTTTGTCAGGGTATCTTACAACTAGCACATTCCAATGAATAAGGTTTTCCTATAATACTTAAAACCATAACAAAAGACTGGATCAGAATTCTTCACAAATTATTACAGTATTATACTTACAGCCTTGACGATGTTAATAACAGGCACTTTGCCATCAGTAACATTAGCATATTTGAGCCTAGTCTGCTCCGACACTAATGTCCATAGCTTATCCAGGTTCAATACAGGGCAAAACTCTTTGTTCCGTCTCAAGTGGTAGTTTCTCATACCCAGCTACAATAAATAATATTTCTTCAATTAGTAATTGCTTATACAAGATAATTTAACCAAGGAAAGATGTATCACTAGAATTACTTATAGAATTTTATTAGCCTAAAGCTAGATATTCAGTCGAAAAACAATCATAATATACGGGGTATTGAAGAGGACGATTATTGCAAGTAATAAAATTTACAACTTAAATTCTTTCTTTAGGTTACCTTGCCAAAGTAGCCGGGATGGTATTTGTCCATGTTAATCCTGTGGTGATGTTCACCACCTGCGTTACCGCGACCACCGGGATGCTTACGGTGTTTGCCTGAAATATGCGAAGCATTAGGAATATTAATATGCATTGTAACTAAGGAAAAGTAACGCAATCTTTCTCTTAAATAAAACATTAAAACCCAAAACTTACCAATACGACCGTGACCATGGCTAACGTGTCCTCTTAGCTTCCTAGTCCTCTTCTTAGATGTGGCCTGCAGAATAACGTAAATGTTAGGAAACAAAAATTCTACAAATTTATAAATATTCCATACAACTAGTATTTAATCACTTTTAGTACTCAAAACAATATCGATTTCAAAATGAAATGTAATGATCATTACTGTAATAATAGATAAAATTTCACAAATCTTAACACTAACCATATTTTCGGTTCCGTCAGGACAACAAAAAGAAAGAGAGAGAAGGAAATAAAAGCAGACAATACAAGAAACGTCAAAGCATAGATAAATACGTCAATGTCAAATTGAATTAAAAAATTAATCCTTTTTCTTTTTTTTTTGATTATGGACTTCTCCGGTTATACTTTTTCCTCAATAATTTAATTTAATTTAAGTATTAAGTATTTTTTTAAATTATTGACAGTATGAAACATTATAAAATGGTGAAATTTTATTCAAAATAAAAATAAATCAATAATAATTAATAATTTATATTTGTAATAATTTATAATAATTAAAATTATAAAAACATAATTTATTCATGATAAATAATAAAAATAAATAATAATAATTTCGTTAATTTCTTTTTTCTTTGAATGATATTATAATCATTTCAAACCACAACAGGCCGCTTTTATTGAGACAACTTAGCGATTGCAGCGCCTCACTTATTTTGTCCATATTTCTAGGACACTATTTTCTACCATTCCATGCTGGCTATAAACCGTGACCGTGACCTGGGTGGTTTCTACTAATGTGGCGTTATTTAGACTTAAGATAATCATTAAAGTCCATTTATTTATTCTTATCAATATTTCTATTTTAGTAAAATCTCTAAATTTTTCGGATAAATTTTAGTCTAGATCACTCCTGGTATACACTCTATTTGTACCTGAAGTTTTAATGTAATTGATTCAGCCATTCCGAAGATTAGCTCAAACAAACAGGCAAACGAACATTTTAAAATTGGTCATTTATTTTTCAGTAGCATATAAATTAAATACCATTATTTATGAAGAAAACTCAGAATGCTTCATAGCTTCTTTTTTGTGGTTTTTGGCATTTTGTTGTTATAAATTCCAATAACATGTTAGACTAACGTTATAGAACGTACGAAAAACGCATATCGCAATGTAATTTTTTGGCGGCCTTTACCAGCGGGTGTGAGTATAGATAGCGACAGTGTGCGAGCGAAAGGTAAATAGAGGCGTCGCCATATTTAATCCCATTCTTTAACCGCACGGGTAGTTGATGTCGCTATTACAAAGCCATTTTACTTAAAATAAAGTATAGTATTCTTTGGATTTATTACGGTAAAATTTAGTCTAAAAATAAGGATTTTAACATTTATTTGCTATAAAATTAAACTTTATTATTTTTGGTTGAAAATGATCGTATTACTAAAGAAAGAAACAAACAAACAAATTCATCTACACTAATAATATTATAAAGATGAACATTTTGTTTCTTTGAATTCGGAGTATGCTCCAAGAAATATGGACCGATTTGAAAAATTGCTTACCGTTGAAATCCTACATTATTTGCGTGCGTGACAACTTGATGATACATAGATAGTGCTATAGGATAATACTCATATTCTTCAAAAAAGTTAGGGATCCGTATGAAAACTTCGATAATGTGTTCTAAAATTTAATTAGATTACCGGTCGAAACAAAAGTCGATTACAGTCGTATCGTAGTATTAATTGTTATTCAAATAAATAGTTTTATCATAATGAAAGAGTTAAGAAATAATTTGTACCTCTTTTTAAAGAGCATATTCTATTCTTTACTTAAGTCATACATATTTTGGCGGTAAAGTTGGAAATTTTAATATACCCAAAATTTGAGCAAAAAAAATCGATTAAAGATAAGAAATGTTCATATTTTGTGGCAGATCGCGCAAAAACTATAAATGATATCGCTTTCGTATGTATAAAAGGTTGATAGAAAATTCATCAAGGATCATTTCGTACCTCCACACTTTTCATGTACCGTGTACAGTTATCTTTAAAACTGAAGAAAACCGCATTTTGGGGCAGTTTCTGGGGCATTCATCCGGGAGGGGGAGAGAGAGTGGATAAAATTTTACTTTGTTGTATAACATACATATGCCGATAGATAAAAGTACTATATTATTTTGCCAACTCTTTAGCCTAAAAGATTGAACTAAATAAGCGAGGTGTCATGTGATGTCGCGCGCCGCAGACACGTGATATACGTGGGTGAAACCCCGGGGCACAGCTCTATAAAATATTTTTAAAATAAAAACGAGTTTTAAAATTTTTGTGTCTGTTTTCTGTTTGTTTCGGCAATCTCCGAAATGGCTGAACCAATTTTGTCAGGACTTTCGCTGGCAGATAGCCGATAGTATAAGGAGTAACTTAATCTTATTTTTATTTTAGAAAAATAATTGGGGTCATTCGCAAAAATTCAAATCCATGGAATTCAATCGTAATAAATTTCACGCGAACGAAGTCGCGGGGAACAGCTAGTTTATTAATAATTTGCCGTGAAATATTTTTATTTTACATTTCATTACATTTGAAGGTTTCACTTTTAGCAGGTATGAACTGCACACATGCTTTTTTATATATGTTCACCACATTTTAGACTTTTAGATAGATCATTCAGTCAAACCATACGGTACGGTTCATTTTACGCTATTTCTAGTTGTTTCGTTGTGTCGTCTATATCACCAGGTATACCCTCTTTGAATACATCTAATGGATTTTCAAAAATATTTTGAATACCCGCACGTACATATTAACTAGCTTCAACAAAGACAAACAATATAACAACAAAACATATTTATGTATATCACATAATCACATAATATACTACATACTCACGCCTGCGACCCAAACAGATAGAGACTACGGTTTTCCAAATGGCACGATCCTGACGCACTGTCCATTACCATTACAGCATATCAAAGTCCACTGCTAAATAAGACCTCCTCCGTAGATTTTGCCATAGTTGTCACGCTTGGAAATCACAGTATATTTATAATTTTGAGCTATTACAAGGGAGATGCTGCTAACCTTTTCCCGTTTCAGTTTATCTCTACCGCCTCTTACAACACACTCACGGGCGGACATGGGTACACCTGTCTCAAGCTTTTGGAAATATAATAAAACGTATTATTCTTTCAAGCTACTCCTTTACTGTTCCTTTTTGTGTATTGAAATGAATTTACGAGTGCTTGATTTGTCGTCGTATGTCATATTTTTTTAGTCCTACTTCCTACAAATATTTTATATTTGAAAGATTATTTTTATGTTCAAAAGTTTATTTTATGGCTAATAAAATAGTAATAAAAACTACTGAACGGATTTTCATGAAACTTGGCGATATTATATATAAACGACCAAAACAGGATGTTTCTTTAATTACAGTTTTTAATCCTTGTTGATATCAATTTATTATCTATGCTACGGCTTACGAAAAAACCTTGTCGTCATCAATTGTTTGCTGCCTTAAGCTGTTTTGCTGTTTTCCAAATCTCCCAAAAACTCAATAATTTGATACAACAACATATTGTCAGGAAGTATTTGAGCAATTTATTAAAAACTGGTCAAGTGCATGTCGGGCCTCCCACAATGTAGAAGTAGCGTTCTGTAGTTGCCCGTCACAATACGTCTGCTTTCTTGATAACAAGCATATTAAGTGATTTTGCGCTTTGACCGCTGTAACGACTAAAACTAGGCCTAAATAGGGCGACGGTGAAGGACTTATTTTCCAATCAGACTTATAGGGAGTGGTATTCAAAAAAGGTGAAATAAATTTTCGATTTTGAAAGTAATTCAATCTACATCAAATCGTTCACATGCAAAGACAAAGATGGTCATAGTTGCACTATATATCCATATATTCCCGGCAGTGCAACCCTAAGATATATATGACCGTAACGAAACTTCCCGTAAACCATCACTGCCCTAAATTATCCTGAGGGTCGCCTGCATAAACCAAAAGTACCACGAATTAAACTGTATGAGTCTGTACGATTGTATGAATACTTTGAATGAGGCCTATAATGACTACCAACTAAAAAATAAGCGAAATTAGTAAGTAAGTAAGACAGAACTACCCTATCTATCCCGCAAATAAAAAAGTAAATCTATAGTAGTTAGCATATATTATGTCGTTTTCTTCATAAAATGTTTATTTGTTACAGTTTATAATAATATTACAGTATAGTGCAGCTAGTTTTAGATCATTTTCTATGGAGTATTAACGAAATTTTCACTAATCCAAGAGCCTTTTATGAGTTGGTCGACTATTACTCCTTAACTTGTTAATCTAGTCTAGAGCTATGGAGACGGCTGTGCTCGGGGATTCTCTACATGATAAACTTAGAAATAAATGACATACGCATTAAGAATCTGAGTGACTGACATAGCCCAATGGATTAGTAAGGTGAAGTGGCAAAAGGCTGGTCATATAGCTCGAAGAATCGATAACCGATGTGGAAAAAAGTTCTCGAATGGCAGCCTCGTACCGGTGGGCGAAGTGTAGGGCGAACCCCCATTAGATGACAATCTGGTAAGACATGCAGGAATCGATGGATGCAGGTGGTTCAGGAGCGTACTTTTTGGCATTCCTAGGGGAAGGCCTATGTTCATCAGTGGACTTGTAAAGGGTTGTAATGAATGAACAAACCCAACAGATCATTTTTTCCAACGCTGAACTTATGCAGACTATTATCTTTTGTCTATCGATAAAAATGTCGTAGTCTCCGCCCTACGTTGCTTACCCATTAAGATAGCGGCACCAGTGTATCGACACGTGACAAATTAATGCTTTTGTTTTGGTTTGTTTAAATGCATTGAACAGAAACACAAATTCTGTAGTGTGCGTGTTATTCTCCCAGACAGAAATGTAGGCTTTCTACTTATAGTTCGTTCACGTTAAGAAAATAGTGAGTCATAGTTGTCCGCCGGCCTGGCCACGCCCCCCAGCCAATTAAAATGCAAGAAATTAGAAAGTCGAGTTCACAGTGACCAGTTGAAGTCAGGCCTTCGAACAAAACTGTTGTATATTTTTCGTGTTACTCGTTCAACATTATATTTTGAAAATGAATACCTCACCTATTCGAAAGAATAAAAGTGCATCAATAATACCAGAGAGAGTAATTACAAGTTATATACTTTAAACTTGTGATTAAATGGAGTGGGAGACAGTAATAAAAACAGCAAGTTCGTG